CGCCACTTCCTGATCAGACAGCGAGGCGCTCAATCCCGGCAGCCACCGCGGCGCCTTTGCGTCTCGGCAGCCGAGAGCGCGCGTGCGTCATCGCGTGCCCGCAGGGGGGGGGCCGCGGGAGGAGAACGAGCCGGCTCAGGCGTTCTGGGGTCCCCATGACAACGGGGGCGGGGCCGGGCGCGGGGCCGACACTGGGACTGCGATAAGAAGCGGCGGGTGGCGGTGCTAAGGAAGATGGAAGGCGCCTTTTTTTCCAGAAATGTAGAGCTGCGAGATCCTTCTCCCTCGTGCTGTAGGAGGCGTTTATCCCCGGTGGCGATGCGATCTTCTACGGGTATGTTGTGACTTTACCCCAAATGCCACTCACCAGCACCTGGAGAAAGTGGTTCCTGCTCCCTTTTACAAGTGAGGAAACAGGCCCAGGGATGCTTGACATGACTCTCTCAAGACAGCACCGCTGGCAAAGACAACCTCACGTGGAGCCCAGCTTCTGAACTCCCAGCCCAGGCTCTTTCCATCACACCTGTGAACTGTCTTAGAAAAAAATTGGGGGATTCGGCAGCAATATAAAGGGGTGGAAATAAAGCAACGGAAAATAACTGGCCTGGCTAATCGCACCTTGTAGCACGTTGAAGTGTGTCAGATTTTCTGCGTTGCTTCTTTCCTCACTCATAATCGAAAGCGGCAGGATAGCCAGAGCTCAGCTATTATATATCTGTTGTGTAATTACTTACTACTGGTTATTTCTCAAGTTACTGAACCCGTGTCTTAACTTTCTCATTTGGGAAATGGGGATAATCATTTTACTACCACGATGAGGGACTTGCATTGGACTGTGGTGAAAATTAAATGAGATAATGCATAAAATTTTACTAAACACTTGGAAATAAAGATGATCGTGTGACCTTTTAATTTGTTTCATTCTGATGGTGGAGGAGTGGAATACCTCACAAAACTTGTGGGCACTTTGACTTGATCCTGAAGTGATTTTCAGGGCAGCCAGCAAAGTCTTAAAACAAAGTGTATTAGCAGGAGAAGGAAAGAGGATTCATGCCAGAAAGACCTGAGATGGACGAGTCTTGAAAAAAAGAAGGACCACCGGGCGGGCGCAGTGGCTCTTGCCTGTAATCCCGGCACGTTGGGAGACCAAGTTGAGAGGATTGCCCGAGCCCACTGGTTTGAGACCAGCCTGGGCAACTTGGTGAGACCTCATCTCTACCATAAATCAAGAAAAATGAACCGAGCATGGTGGCGCATGCCTGTAGTTCCAGCTACTTGGAAGACTGAGGCGGAAGGATCACCTGAGCCCAGCAGGTGGAGGCTGTGGTGATCTTGAGTGTGCCACTAAACCCCAGCCTGGGGAACAGAGTGAGAAAAAAAGAAAGAAAGAAAGAAAAGAACAAAGAAAGACCTGTGCTTTTGCTCTCAACTAAAAGCTAGCTTTAGCTACCTAATTATTGATATACTAATGGAGTGGAGCATAGGTAACACTGCCCTCTCCGCCCTGATGGGAGACGGAGTGGTCTTATTATCATTTCTATGGTTTTGGTCAGTTAAACGATGAGGTTGAGCCTTTTACCTTCAATAAGGAACCTGAAGAATTTTTAGTGATTATTATACTAAACCTTGGACTGTCCTATTCTTACATCTAATGGGATTTTCTCTGCATTGGCTGAGGGCGTGGAGTAGACTGGCAGGTCTACATTCCAGTCTGACCTGCAATAAAGATGTAGTAAGAAAAATGTCTGAACACTTCTTGAAACCTGTCTGTAAGAAATTTATCTATCTATACCTAACCTGTATTAACTACCTTGCCTCAACTCTAGAAGATCTTGAAGTAAACCAACTTTTTGGTCATCTGACACACACAGGAAAATAACTTCATTTGAATATCAATTGAGTAGAGCCTAGATGTTTTACAACCTAGTAGAGTCTGATGACCAAACTGCTTTTTTTTTTCTTTTCCTCGCCAGCTTCATAACTTCTCATGTAATTTACTTTCCAACATGGCTCTAGCAGATAAAAAAGAAATATGAAAGTATTTTATGACTCAGTATAACTCTCACATGCATTGATTTATGACTTCTTGTCATTTCTGCCCTCCTAAACTATGTATAGCCAAGCTACCATTCAACCACTGTGAGCACATATTGTCAGAACCTCCTGTGGGTGAGTATCACAGGACTGATCATTCATATTGGCCAGAATAAGCCATTTAAAAATATTTTACAGAGTTTGGCATCTTTTTGTCAATAAACCAAAGATTAACTGGCAGGAAACTGATGAGGTATAATGGGAAGAAGGAACATGAATCCAGTACAAAAAATAATCTTAAATGTTAAGATTGCATTGTCCTGAGAAAAATTAGCCAGACTTATATCAATTGAGTTTTGGTTCAGTATTCCTTTCCCCAGTGATTATATAAATAAATCCTAGGTTTTTTGGGTTTTGTTTTTATTTTTGATCTCACTCTGTCACCTAGATTAGAGGGCAGTGGCACAATCACAACTTACTGCACCTCAAACTCCTGGGTTCAAGCGATCCTCTCTCCTCCCTCAACCCTCATCAGCCTCTCAAATAGCTATGACTACAGGCATGCTCCACCACATCAGCCTAATTTTTCTGATTTTTTTGTAGAGACAAGGTCTCACCATGTTGCCCAATCTGATCTTGAACTTCTGGGCTCAAGCAGTCATCTCACCATGGCCTCCCAATATGTTAGGATTAAAGGTATGAGCCACCATGCCCAGCATATCCCTGTTTCAAGAACTGGTAGAATCAGTTATATCATATTGTTGCAGATCACAAATTCTGCTACTTATTTCTTGCAGGTCAAAATGAACAAACATGAGATGTAATTCAAGGAAGGTAACTTTATTCTTGTTAGGTCATTGAGCCAGTGCCTTGGGAACTAAAGCAAAGAACTGCAGAGGCAAAGCAACAGAGTTTATTCACTTCCCAAGATAGGAAGGGGCTAAGATAACACTAAGGGAGGTGTGGCCGTGTACTTGAGAATTGGGAGTATTTAAAGCTTCTATAAGAAAGTAAGACAGGGAAAAATGTCTCAGCAACTGCATTCTTGGATGATGATAACACAGGTCTTGTTGTCAGGGCAACAGTCTTGTGACTCCAGGTAGTGGGCTGGGGGCTGTTGTCATGGAAGGCTGATCACAGTAGGTTAGGATAGCTTGTCCCTTCATCGCTAGGATTAGGCAAATACTTAGATTAGAGAGCTGATCAGTACAAAGCATGCTTAGGGAGTTATAAGACAATTATCAGAAACTATCTCCCTAGAATCCTATTTTGTTTTCTTATTAATGATTTCAGGGCATGTTACTAAGATAGCAAAGTAGAGCTTAAACATAGCTAAAATGACTGCCACAATGCCTAAAGTTATTCCACTTTGGCTTTTCACCCTTTTAATTCTAAAGTCAGCAGATAAGGAAATGGTCAGGCTCATGCCTCAAATAAATCATTCAAAATCTTGGACTGAGGGTAGGGGATTTTATAGGGACAGGATGGAATGAGGGGCATTCAGGGGTAGTTCAAGATACAGGGCTACATGTCTTACTTCGATGGTCATCTGAAATTGCTGTCCACCTAGAGATCATCTGTTGTCATCTCAATTGTGAACAGGTTATAGATTAATCATTGTTATAAAAGTATTGTACGGCTAGGTTCGGTGGCTCAGCCTGTAATCCCAGCACTTTGGAAGGCCAAGGCGAGTGGATTGCCTGAGTTCATGGGTTCGAGACCAGCCCAGGCAACTTGGCGAGACCTCATCTCTATAATAAATGAAAAATTAGCTGGGCGTGGTAGCTTACACCTGTAATTCCAGCTACTTGGAAGACTGAGGTGGAAGTATCACCAGAACCCGGCAGGTCAATGCTGGGGTGGCCGTGAGCGTGCCACTGTACTCCAGCCTGGGCAACAGAGTGAGACTCCAACTCAAAAAAAAAAAAAAAGTATTATATAGAGGGAGTCCAATGAGGAAAAGAAAAAAACAAACTTAAAGTGTTCCTACAAGCTACACTGTGAAGTTAGCAACAAGAAAACAAATAGTTTTTAGAAGCTAGGATTCTAGGTTATAATATCTATCCTGCTACAGTAGTTCCTTCCATCATTCTGCTGGTTCCCTTACTAATGAGTTAGCGACTGTTGCAGCCTGACCAAGTTTCCTATGCCTGCTGCCCAGAAAAAAAAACTGACACAGCCATTACAATGGAGAAAGAGTTTAATATCACAGAGTAGCTGAGCGATGAGAATGGAAAAAGTTACTCAAATTCGTGTCCCTGAAAATTCAGTTTAAAGGGAACTTGGTGGGCTGATGATTGACTGATAGTGTCAAGGGGGTGTTGAGACTATCTTCACGTCACAGAGCCAATTCTTAGGAGAGAGCCTCACAGGACAGGTAAAACCACCTTCCTAGTGTTCTAGGCCTAGGTGGGACCTTGGGCCCATCGGCGTCTGAAAAATATCCCAAATCCCATTCATTCTCAGGTTTTGCATAGACACTGTCTATAAAACAAGTCCCATGACTCTCAGCAAAGAGCCATTATAGAGGTAGTCTAGGAGGAAGTTACAGGTGAAGTGGGATCCATGGAGACTGAAGTCACTTTTGTCCTCAAACAACTCAGGCCCATTATTTAAGAGAGAATATGTTGGTCAGCCTTGTGGGCAGCTTCCCCCTTCCCCAGGAGTGAGGACATGATGGTAATTATTTTACTCCATAGCCCAATATTAATTTTATATAGGCAGTTTCAAGACTTATTCAAATGGACAATGACCAGACCATATAATGATAACAAAACTCTGACCCATGTAAGCCAAACCACAACCTCCACAGCAGTCAGCTCAAAA